GAGCTAAAAGCAGCAGAAGATGAGCTAAAAGCAGCAGAAGATGAGCTAAAAACAGCAGATGAGCTAAAAGCAGAAGATGAGCTAAAAACAGCAGAAGACGAGCTAAAAGCAGAAGATGAGCTAAAAGCAGCAGAAGATGAGCTAAAAGCAGCAGAAGATGAGCTAAAAGCAGTAGATGAGCTGAATGTAGCTAAAAGCAGCAGAAGACGAGCTAAAAGCAGCAGTAGAAGAGCTGAATGTAGCTAAACGCAGCAGAAGTGTCACTGGTTCTTGTTCCGTATCTTTTAACCAGAACCCATCCTTTAGAACCTGAACTCCTCCCAACTTTAAAAAGCTGATTTGGTTCCGTCTGACGAGTTGGACCTTGTAGGTCTGTAAAGGCAGGACTGCTGAAACTTTTGTGGCGAAAGAAAAAGAACCGAGCACGAACCTGGACCCATTCTGGGTCAGCACCGTCTACAGCCGGCTTGACTTTGACCTTGGCGTGGCTGCACTGCTGGACCACAGTCCGGGCCTGTAGCTTCCTGGACTTGTAGAACCCACATGGGCTGCTTGAAGACACGTTGGGGTGAGGGACACATCAAATACTCGTTAGGAGACTCGAGGAGGTGAAAACAGATTGTAAAAGTTCTACCTGTCCACGCCGTGGGCCGGTTGTGCTGCCTGTCCCAGAGCAGAGTGGGCGATGGTGAAGACGGGCCAGGGTTTGGTGCTGGGTGCCACCACCGGGTCCAGACCGGAGCAGGAGCCCCCCACAGCAGAAGGTTCTGGCTCCGTGGTTCTCCTCCTCTTTGCAGGAGGCCTGTCGCTGCGCTGGGCCGGAGGTTCTGAGGACTTCTTGGTTCTGCGTTTGCCGTTTTGGCTTTGAGGCGGATGTTGGGTCGGTTCTGTGAGGGGCGTGGCTGCATCCTGGGACTGGATGAAGTGCCGAGTTCTGGTGCCAGTACCCCTCTGCTCCTCTGGTTCTGTTGTCTGCGGGCTAGTCTGGTTCCCGGGCTGACCCTCAGACGGGTTTTCGGACGGGTCAGGAGTCCCCATGTTGACGGACCAGAACCTGGTGATGAGGGGCTGGTTGGGGGTCCGGGGCTGCAGGATGACCGAGGCGTTGGGCTGAAGGTTGTTGGGGGTTCTCAGGTGGATCAGAATCGGGATTCTGGGCTGAAGTCCGGATGGGGGCGGAGCTTCCTGAGACTGACACAAGACATCTTTAATGATTTAGTCCTCGGATCTGGAGACGACGAGTGGGTTTTAGAAAACTCACCATTTCTTCCACCGACTCAATCACCTGCTGCTCCTCCATGACACCCGCCCCTCCTCCACCATCATCATCATCATCGTCGTCGTCTTCATCACCACAGGCGTCCTCGCTGTCCTCGTCCTTTCCACTGCTGTGGAGACAGACACAGTCAGGACCGCGTCTGGACTTTCTTGACTCTAAACTCCAGATTTCTGTCCGTTTTGAACTTTTTTGGGAAAATGTCAATTTTGCAGATGTTTTGAATTAAAGTGGTCGTTCAACTGCAAACGTGAAAATATAAATAAAGACAGCAGAGACCAAAGTTCTGTAAAAATGACATGAAAGCACCGTTTCTACTAAACGTTTACGGTTATTTGTTGTGAAGGTTCCTAAAACCCTGCTTCCATTAGCTCCATAGTTCTGTCCGAATCTGAGCCATCTACAGCAGGTAAGATATTCATCTTTATACCAGAACACGTCAGGCGTTTTGGGCTGAAGGGAGCAGAACCTGTCTGAGTCCGGGTCTGGAGACTGGAGCGTCTGCAGCAGCATCTCGGAGTGCTCGGCCTCTGCTCCGTGCGCTTTCTTCACCATCTTCAGGCTGCACTGGGAGCAGCTGTTGATCCACTCCATCACATCGAACTTCATGGTTTTCCAGAAGTACCTGTCAAGAGATCAGAACCGGGTCATCCGGGTCGAGCCGCGGCAGACACGAAGGAGAAGCGGCGAGGACAAACCTCTCGTTGAGCAGGCGGAGACACTTGTTGACGTTCAGGTGGTTCAGCTCGTCGTGAAAGTCCACGAGCGCGGCCTCGACCTGCTGCCGGTTCCTCAGAACCAACCGGACCCGGTCTCCGCTCATGAAGTGGAGCCGGTCGTCTGTGGAAGCAGCAGAAAGCGAGCGAGCGGCAGCCAAGAATTAAAAACGTTAAAATGTCTCCTCTTTCTACAGGATCAAATAAAATTTACATTTTGATTTAATTTGTGTTTTATGAAGAACAAAGTTTGATTCTTTGACTTTTATCGTCTCATTTTAGAAAAGATTTATTTGTTCAATGGATGGACCAATCCTGTTTTATTAAAGATTAAATCAAAGTTTTATTTTCTTTACTCCCAATTTAACTAGATGAGTCCAAATTCAAAACAAATATTGAAAATATTAAAAAAATATATATCTGAAAATTAAACATAATTTTAGTTCTAATAGCAGCTACAGTTAGCTTCAACATGCTAATTTTATCTTTTACCTACCGCTTTGATCATTTTCACGTTCAGCTGAGGTTCTATCATTTTTAGCTTATGGGGCTACATGCAACTTGTAGCTTTTAGCTCCAGTTTAGCTGATAATAGTTCTGTTTTCTAACTTCCTGTTTCCCCACCTGCTCTGTGATGTCATCAGAGCATCACTCAGGTATATCATTTATCTGTGTTTAATCATGTTGGTGTCAAACACAGACAACAGAACCGCGATCCGAACCTATTATGGCGTATTTCTTGCAGAACCTCCTGAAGGTGTTCTTCTCCACGTAGGTGAGTCCAGGTGGGTAGGTGCGCCGGCTCAGGTACAGCTCCACAGCGTCATACTTGGCGAAGAATGCCTGCTCACACAGAAACAGACGGAATAGGAAACAGTTTCCACCTGAAATGACTCATCCTTCCATCGTACCTCTTCAGCAAGCGGCTGTTGGGCCGGACCCCCGGCAGGAGTCTGTGGAGGGAAACCAGACGGGTTACAAGGAGAACTGCAGCTTCAGGACCCAGAACTGGACCTGCGAGGCTCACCGAGGAGTCGCCGTGGATGTTGAGCGTGGGCACGGCATCCGGGCGGAGCGTCGCCTTGTCCCCGCCGCGCTCGAAGCAGTCCTCGGTGAAGTGGGACGAACAAATGGACGACCAGAGGCGGGGGTGCCAGTGAACCCGACCCACGGCCTTCATCCAGTGAGCCAGAACCGGCAGGTTGTACAGAGGAAACCTGCAAAAACACAACTCCTGATTCAAAGGTCTCTGTCCAGTTTCTGCACACACCGTTTCACCCGCCATCACGAGTGGAGGGCAAACATGTAAGGATCTGTATTTGTTAGCAAAATAACTCACAAAGCCATGGACAGAGTTTAAAGTAATCAATGGACGTACACCGATAACAATAAAATGTTTAGCTAAAATCTGGAGTGGTAGTAGCTGAGAATAGCGGGCGATATGCATTTATTCATGGAATTATGGTTTTGTTCAGGATTTGCACCTGAACGATGGTTCTGACACTGCAATGTAACGCTATATATATATATATATATATATATATATATATATATATATA